GTGTCAAATATTCTTTATAATGTAAGTGTGAACAACGAACGTATATTTCAGATAAGTTATTAAGCTTGTTATCAGTCTCACTGGGCATTCCTGGATATAGTAAATCTTAATATGTTCGCAATCGGATATTTCGCGCTTCATAAATCACTGCAAATTGTGTTCCTCATTGAAGATATACCATAAATTCCATTGACAAGTGACAGGCATTATAAAATGATATACTGCCCTATGCGCCCATCTAAGTAAGGATGAAATAAGACGACAATAATAAACAAATGTAACATGCAAAATAAATTGGGCAGAATACGGAGATTAGACGATGATGTAACAGTGAACATTAATTTCTTTAAGTTTGCTAAAGGCGACAGGTAGTGACGTATGAGGTTACAAGGGCATTCCGTCCCCGATAAAGATGAATTTATACGACTCTGTTGAAGAGTAGGGGTTTAAATTACAACATATAAAAATATTTTTAAAATTAACTTGGGAAATATTTTTATATAATAAAGATATATAGGGTGATAAAAAAAATGTTTTGGAGGTGCAAGGGACTCTTACAAATACAATTTTGTAAAGAAAAAATCAAAAAGGGCACTTCGAAAATGATTTAAAAATACACAGCACTGAAAACTGGTCCACTGTAACACCTGACTTCGTACAATGCAACATGGCGGTAAAGTGTGATAAAAAGGACAAAACCCCGAAAGAATTTCGCAAGGAAAGAAATAAATAGAATTTTATAGCACCTACTTTAAATCAGCAAATTCAACTGCTTTTGCCGCTATTGTTATTATTAATTAATAAAATTATTTGCGGTTTTAAATAATAAAATAAATTGATATACTTGATGTTACAACTATTCAAAATTTTTTCCACCGACGTGTAAACACATTTGGGTCCATCTTACTCAGTTTCTACGGACTAACACAAATGTTGTCTTTCTTCGCCATAAATTAAAACGATATCCATCAACTCCGAGTTGCTATACCTACACGCAAGCCATCTTTGGCGCTAACTGCTAAAAAAACCATTGTAAACACTATCGCAACGACGATTATAAAATCGGATTTCAGTATTCGGAGTCGCTGAGGCCTCGTGGCTCTCCATGCGCCTTGCAGTTGTCCTGCTATGAAATGGTTGAAAGTACTACAACTTCAATAATTTTTTTCTTGGAAATTGTAAGGATTTTTCAAAAATTCTTTTTACGATACTGCCTCCATTTCTCATGCTGCATTTATTCCCAAATTTTTTTTGGATAAATTGTGAATCACACTGTATAGAAGATCATTCTGTTTTGTATATTGAACCATGTGATGCAAAAAAATGTGAACGTATTGAAAACCGCTGTTATAGAGAGGAAATGACACATCGAACTCTTCGTATAAACATCAGCGGGCTAGTCCAATTAAAGAATCACACACATTTACAAACACACCTTGCTGTTGTCTAACAAACTGTGATGCAGCTTCAATCCAAAGCGATTGTTCTTCAACATCATCGGCCTTCCTGTCATATGTGCTATTTTATGATTCCGGAGAACAAGAAGGCCATGGAGATCAGAGTAATGAGCAAGAGCTGTGTCATAAAAATACCACTGTACCCGACATACGTCATACTTGTTCAAGAAGAATTAGTAAATTATTATTCAAATAATATCTAATCAGGAGATTTGTCAACACAAAAGGTTGTATTAAAATTATTTGCAATATCATCCTAAACATTAATGGAAAAGTAATGTTGAAAATTAGTACTACACAGCAGGTGATTTTCAATAGCTTAGTTAGGGAATAAAAAATGGACTCTTTACACATGAAAATGGTACAGATGTCCCTATGTGTGAACCATACAACCCGATTTATTTATGTAGTAATTGCAGCTACTAAATTCAAATTTTTCTCTTCGACATTATTAATAAGTAAAGACCTGTCGTGAAGTTTATCTCCTCCTCAATAGGGTTGACTAGTGTCAAGTATTCCTTGAACGAGTGTTACAAATTCTGCAGAAGTTAATCCAAAAAAAATTCATGTTTCGTTATGCGACCGCAGCACTTTGTCTGCATTGCCTGTATACCTACCAATGACGCATCTTTCAATTCGTGGTATGTTAAATAATCACTACTAATCGAACTGTGAGATATTGATTGTGATCCCTGTGAGATCGTTCTTGGCGATTAAAAGAGATTTTTCATATTCTCCTAATATACCCCGTACACCATAACAAAATCTGCGATAAGTGAATGTAATTTTCCTCACGTCTGTGCGAGGGAACACCTTCTCAAATCGACAAACCTTTTTCGATCTATTATATCTTAATATCCACGCAATCTGAAGTTTCATGCGTCATAAATCAATGCAAATTGCGTTTTCATATTGAAGATACAGCGTAAATTTCTGCAGATAGGCGACAGACATTATAAAATGATAACCTGATTTCCACCCTTGCGCGCGATTTTACACCGCCCTCGCAGGCTATTAATATTTTATATTTCAATTCATTTGCTGATATAGCTGTCGGCTAGGTTTGTACTATAAATACAATTCTCTTATTCACCAATTAGACCCCACTCTATACAGTGAATAATGTATGTTAATTTAACACTAAAGGTCTAATAGTACCGTACTCGATAAAACTATTAATAATTAATTAGACTAGTTGCTATGCAATATCTGTACCCTGTTTTCGGAGAGAGTTGAATATGGGTTATGTTTACATGTGGCATGTTCACTTACTGGAATGATATATTTTGCATCTTCAGGATCAATTATAGAAACTTGAAGTGAGTAAATAGTTACTTACACCATAAAGGAGGTAAGTATTATTTACTAGTCGAGGACGATTTTGCGCCCGAGCGGAGCGAGTGCTGGCAATAGAGTCCGAGACTGGCAAATTATACTTAACTGCTGCGTGGTGTATAACATTTTATCTGCTCCCATAGCTCTTTATGGTTCATGAAATAAAGATTAGGTTTTATTTTTTGACATTTCTCAATCAATTCATTTTGACATTACTCGAAATCTTGCAAAGTCGCCTTGGTTGTTTAGATTTTGTGGTTTGTAAGGTGTTTATAAACAAAGCTACATAAAAGTTGCAATTTTGCTGGTTTTGAATTATTATTTCTAAATGAGTGATTTTCAAATAGAAAGTGCAGCAAATGCTGCCTGCGAATTTTTATTGCCCGAGAAGTCGAAAGTGCGCTACGGACGAGGATATAGAAATTTGAAAGAATGATGCCGGAACAAAAATAGTGGTGTAGAAATTCTCAAGACATATATCAAAATTTGATTGAAAATTAAAACTGAAATTTCACGCTTTTTTATGCGCTATCAAGCAGGTAGATGTTGAAACCAACCAGTGGGTAAGAATACTCTTTCTATAACTCCTAATAAGATTGCACAGTTTTTGAAACTAGAACATCCTGCAACATATACAGCCCATTCATTCCGAAGAACATCGGCAACGTTACTAATACAGGAGTTAATTACCTCACTTACCTCCATAGCAACTTCCACTTCTACGGTAAAATCCACTTACCTCCCTAAAAACAATGTATTAGTAGTCTATTTACTATAGTGGGAGCAGATAAAAACTATTTTAAAGAATTCGTTTTAGACTAAAGACGTTATAAATTGCAATTGTTATACGGAGTGTTTTTCGAGTTTGTATTATAGTCTCAGCAGATTACCTTGAGTCACTTTGAATTAACAGCCAGTAGTTGTCGAGATATCGTGTTTAAATAAATAGAACATTATTTCAAATATCGATAAAGGTGCTCAATACATATTGATGAAACTTGAGCTAATGGGTCAACTAATTGAACAATATAAATCTCTTATCCAATGGCGGATATAGTGGGAGAAGGGACACTCTCGCGAAGAACATTTTGGAAAACGTATAAGTATATTTAAATTTATATTATTTCTAAAAGAAAGAGCTATATTTGCACTTTATTAAAATAAAATAGGGCATTATCGAATAGTTTTTTTTAATTCAATGGAATTGAGAAGTACCATGAGGGTTGAACGCCAAATAGTTGCTCTATGTCCTGAACGCAACAAATTTTTACCAATGTTCTGAATTGCAAAACATATTTATGTAAATTTTTATATCATCTATAAATGGTGCTTTAAAATGCAACAGTGCAGTTCAAATTGAAATCAAATCAACGAATCCGGGAAAAACTGTTATCGGCTTTTCATATTTTTTTTAACTTGGGACTTATTTTCCTCTAAATAAGTAAGAACGTCTTGAAAAGACAACGAATTTGCTTAAATTCGGTTAATGTATTAAATTAATGTATTAAATATTAATGTATTAAATGTGGCCAGAGACTTCCGCTCTGGTTACTGTACTGCAAGGTAGCAGAGTCGACGTGCGATCACACTTTGGGTTAGCTCTGCAAATCCTAGAGGACTGCGGTTCCCGTTGGATCATCGATCTCCGAATTTGAAGCCAATATGGCTGTCGATTGTGGGTTGTGGTTGTTATTCTAAATTTAAGTGAGGCAACTCGGTGTTGTGTCCCAACTCGAATTTCATAGCATTTATGGCGTTTTTGCGAGAAAATTCGATACAGGATTGCAATTTTGGGCGTCCGGCCAAGTGTCAAGGCCAAACATCGGCAACTACATTTGGTTGCTTTTTTTTTCTGCAAACGGTTTCGTAAATAACTCGAAAGCGATAGTATACTGTCTCAGTTTCCATAAATTTATAAAAAAAATGCATAAAGATTTCATTATGGTTCAATTAATTATTTATTTTGATGATTAATTTAACCAAATTGAAATGTTACTAACAAATAAAATAATAGGTAAACTAAATGAAAGTTATACATAATTCTTTTAGGGATATTTTGTCAGTGACTTTACATTAGCACTGACAAACTTAAGTTTTAATTTTACGGCATCAATTGTACATTTCTGTTGGAATGACGAGCATAATAATTACTACTTTTAGCATACCTTTTAGAGTCTCGAGTCCCTGCTAATGCATAGTGTTTTACAGGAATATCGATGCACAAGGGATACGCTTTTGTTCAGTTCACGAATCCATTCGACGCGAGAAGTGCCTGTTTAGGAGAAGATGGAAGGACCGTACTTAGCCAGATTTTAGGTAAGTGGATAGAATTAAGTAAAAGCTTGAAACTGGGCATAAAAATTAAGATTTATTATTGAGATTTGTCAAGATCGATTAGGAATTGTAATATTCGGTCACTTAAAAGTAACAAATATATTTTACTAGGTTTTTTTTATATGTATATACATTTTCTACAATGCATTTTCCGAGCTAAATAGTGATTTGAAATAGATATTTTCTAGAGCGGCAGCACAAACAAATTGTTACAGATATACAGGTTGTCCCAACAGTGACGCCCATCCTTTTGGGATTTGATTAAGGGGACAAAAACAAATTGAAAATCAAGAATTGAAAATTTTCCGATTGTCTTTCCTTGTTGAGTTATTCAAAAAAATTGTTAAAAAAAACTATAAAAAAGTGAAAATCCAATATTTTTGTCTCGAAACTGAGGTCTATACCTATGGGGACCAAGGCGAATTTATAACCATTAGTAGGTAGGTATAGTTTCCGATTGTCGGTAGTACCTGAGTAGTAAGGAATTATTTTAACTTAAAAAGGATAGAGAAAAACATGTTAATAATGAAACAATTTTATAAAAAGGAGAAAAAAAATTTATATACTAAAAACATAATGAACTTAAATAATTGTTTTTACAAAAGGTGTTCAAATAAGTTGTCTTCTACTTCAAGACAAATATTGGCACTATTGAACATTGAATAACAAACCCTTTGTAGCATCTCTTGGTATGGTATATTAACGCGACAGCAGCGCAGCGTGCATTCGGGTTACTACATTTTCTGGATTTACAACAAGTTCGCTGTAATTTTTTTTTTAATAGCCCCAAAAGAAAAAATCTATTCAGATCTGGTGATCTAGGAAGCCATGCTATGGGTCCACCTCTTCCAATCCATTTGCCTGGGAAGTTTTGATTCAGGTAATTTCTTACTCGTAAACCATAATTTGACGGACTCCAGATGTTGAAATCAATAATTTATTTATGATTGCCACAGCATACTAGATCACTTCGTTTTAATACAACTAATCCCTATTATTTTATTCTTCAAAAGCCATTAAAAATAAGTAAGTAATGTATGAGTGGAGAGCAAACATGGCTCAGTTGGCATAGCACTCGTCATTTTCCTAAGCTGTGAAAAAAAAAAACAATAAATCTTTATATTATTTTATTAATAATGCAGCTAAGTGTAATAATTGATGTATTTGAAAGTTTAAGTTTGCTGCAAAATTATAGGAATATTGAAAATGCTGAATGAATTTTATTCAAGCTGTTACTGTGGAAGTAATAGAGCAACCGATAATGCTAGGAGTCAGTCCTCTGATTAAAAATCCTGTAAGCATAGACCTCAGTTTTAAGAAAATAAATGAATTTTCACGTTTTTAATTTGTTGAAAATTTTTTTGGAATAACTCGACAAAAAAAGCAATCGGAAAATTTTCCACTCATGATTTTCGATTTGCTCTTGTCCCCTTAATCAAATCCCAGAAGGACGGGCGTCATTTTTGGGCTTGTTTGTTACCCGTTGCTATTAAAAACACAGTTGTTGTCCAAAAATGCAACTAGATTCTACCCTATATCATGATTAGATTCAGTTTTTCATTAAATAGAGTGTTAACTGGCTGTCATCAAAATACAAACTTTATGTATAGGTATAGGTACATAATTGCTAAACATGTTGCATATGTTAGAACTGAAGTTTAAGGTCAAATAATGTTGGAAATATTTTCCAGGAAAGTTTTATATATACTTCAGCTTTTCAGTTCATAAAAAATAAAGATCGTAAATCATCCAAGCGACGTTTTTACTGACAAAATGACAATGTCGGAACCCTTGTCATGCAGATTTTAATTTATGCTATCACTGGCTACATTAAAAATAAATCATTTAATGATTAATAAAACGAATTTGAGACATGTTCTGTCTGTGACAAGGTGAAAAATATACATTTCTATACAAACAAACGTCAGTGTGTAGTTCCATTTAATTCTTTAATTAACTAATTAACTATTTGATTAATTAACTAAATGAATGTTACCTATTTTTGCGAGTGAAGTTGAACCCTTAGAAATAACTTGGGTGCTTTACCTAAACGCTACAAAGTTCTGTTGGGCGAACATGCACTTTGCGAAGTTTTTACGTAAATCATAAGTAAATTGCAGCTAATGAAGTAAATCCTTCCTACGGTCGACCTGCTATTCTTAGCTGGAACACATTATTCTTTATGTTAAAACTAGCCATAATTTATAATTTGTGTTATGCAGTTCGCTGCGCGACTTTGCGGGACTTTATTTTTCACAAAATTAAGACTTACTTTATGCTGTATTACTATCAGAGCTACTGCTAAGCGTTTTCTTCAAATAAGTATACATATTTACATATTTATTTTGTGTTTTTTTTTTTTTTTTTTAATACAGTAGTTAAAACACCACTTTGGCAGTGAACAATAATTTTACATTAGTAGGTGGTGTATTTAAAATATTGTCTCAAGGAATTTTGTTTGAGAAGTCGTCCTGGTTTGGTTCAGCTTTTGGAGAAGGTCGAGATCATTCTGAATAATCAAAAATTGTTTATAGGTACCTAAAAAGTAATAATAAATTCTGGTATTTTTCTTTTTTAATTTTTAGATATTTTTTGTGATGTTGAGTAACGTTTTTATTTAAGAGAAAAATTTTGGTTTCGGTAAAAAGGTTTTTCTATTCTTTAGAGTTTTTTTTCCATCTCAGATTTAGAGAAACAAAAAAAAAATATTGTTCTGATTTGATGAAATCGAAAGTCATTGACAGTTTATAATTGCAGTAATTTGTCAAAGTCTGAAACAAAAAAAAAAAGATATTTAAATATTTTAGAGAGTCGTTACAACTTTAACAAGCAAGATAAATATATAATTAATTGTAGGGGTATAAAGGAAATCTCATAATAATGACGTTGTTCACAAAATTTCTTAAGAAATTAGGGGAAAAATAAAAGGACGGTTGAAAGAATCTGTATTGATTTTACTGTATGGAGCAGGTATCTCATGAAATATATACAAATGGCTCTGGAAACAAATTAGCTGTTGTTTGTTCCGTAAGACTCTAAATAAAGGTCACTAAGTACTTTCAACTCAGAGTTATAAATTATAGCAATACGAAAATTTTTATCACTAAAATATATGTATGAATTAATTTAATTTTATATATTGTTTTATGTGCATATTGTATTCTATATTTGTAGTCCAGTCTTTCGGGAACAAAATACTTTTGGAAGTTTCTCTGCGGAATATTGTTCGGAAACGTGTTAAAAACAAAATATCAAAAAATCTACTCGAGACTTGTTGGAAAACTTTATTTAAACAATGGTCGAAGTTATGGAAAAGTGGTTTTTTGACTCGCGAAAAAACTGTAATTCATATAAAAAAAAAGGTTTATACAAAAAAGGTGAAATGAGACAAGTCCGATTAAATTCCGATAATTTCTTTATGCGCGAGAGCTCAAAAATGGTCGAAAATGGCCGTTTTGTCAATTGCTAATAATTAATGCAATTTTCATCGCAGGCACTTGTAATTCAGGATTCTTTAAGCATTTTGCACCCTTAATAAATGGTAAAAATTCAGCCCGAAAGCTTCATTAGCTTGGCGTTGGCGGAATTTGTTATCTAAAAAGATTCATTTCCCAAGCTCACAGGCGTTGTAGAGTTTCGATCATTAGTTGCTTTTGTACCTAAATAGTTGTATTGACATATGCATTTACTGAGAACTTAATTTTTCAAATTTAATTTGTTTAAAAATTTGAAAAAATGTTGACCCACACTAGATTTCGACCCCGATTCATACCGTTTTTCGAGACAAATTTCTAATTAATTTTTGTGCTATCTGTAATCACGTTTTTTTCCATCAATTTAAACGATATTTGTGATAAAAACGTGAGAAAACCTCAAAAAAAATTTGTTTCCATTTTAATCATGATTATGAAGTGTTTAAAACGTGACACTTTAATTTTTTTCAAAAGTTTAACTGTTTCAAACAAAGAAACGGTTCGCTAGATCGAGATGAAACTTCAGAAGGTTCTTCTGGATATATCGAACTGTAAAAGTCATGCTTAACATTAGTCATTTCGTGTATATTTCTAATTTAGGAGTCAATTTTCTAAAAACCCATAAATTATCCTTTTTTCCTGTTTTTTAAAATTCGGGTAAAAGATGAAAAAACATTTTTCTTCCGAAAAGTTGCGGCAGGATGTTATAGTAAATTTATTCCAGTTTTCGAAACTTCCCTTCAATTCTCTATACGTCCATTTGTCGCCGAGATATCGATGATTGAAAACAAAAGGATCCTTTGCCATTAAAATTCCGATATTTTGATGAAAAATGGTCGTATCGAGATTTAAAAAATAGAAATTGAAGCTGGAGATTTAAAAAATAGAAATTGAAGCTGAATAAACATGCTATCTGATCCATGCAATGGCTAAGCTGAAAAAAAATTCCAAGTTCTTGAACTTAGAAAAAAAAAAATTTGCAATTTTTTTTTGTCGCGCTATTTCTTAGAATTGCATGCTCCTAAAAAATTTCAACCGAAAGATCTAAAATCTAGAATCTTGGAGCTTCAAAATGATTTTTTTTAATTCCTGATACGACCATTTTTCACATAAATAGTCTGTCAAAAATCACGGAAAAATTTCGGAAATTCATTTGACCCTTTAATTTTTTGCATTAGCTTACATTATCCTTTGTTCCTAAAAAAATGTTTCTAAAACTTATAGGTTGTATGTGACAATTAGCAGCGGTATTTATAATTGCTTAAGACAAGGATTATGAAGACATTAATTTATTTACTTATATTAATTATTTCATTCAATTACATTATGACTCTATAGGTACTGTCTGTTATGTGTGGTGAATCTGACGTTATGCAAGACTACGAAGTTCCAAATTATTTCTCAGATTGCAGATATTTGTTCACATGGAAACTATGCTGATGTAAAAGACCGGTGTAGAACGAGACGAACTTCGAATTCGTTGTCAGGACTTTCGTGTTTGCATATAGT